GATGCTTATCAAATTTGCAGATGACACGAAGCTAGGTAGGATTGCTAATTCTGAAGAAGACAGAGTCAGGATTCAAAATTATCTAGATAGGCTGGAACAGTGGGCAGAGACAAATAAAATGAATTTCAATAGAGATAAGTGCAAACTCCTACACTTAGGTACAAAAAAATCAAATGCATAGATATAGAATGGGAGGGACTTGGCTTGACAGCAGCACATGTGAAAGGGATCTAGGTGTTCTGGTTGATCACAAGCTAAACATGAGCCTGCAGTGCGATGTGGCTGTGAAGAAAGCTAATGCAATCTTAGGATGCATTCACAGAAGCATTGTGTCCAGATCAAGGGAGGTGGTAGTTCCGCTCTATTCCGCTATGGTCAGGCCTCACCTGGAGTACTGTGTCCAGTTTTGGGCACCACATTTTAGGAAGGATGTTGACAAGCTCAAGCGTGTCCAGAAGAGGGTTGGAATCCAAGTCTTATGAGGAAAGGCTGAAAGAGTTGGGTATGTTCAGCCTGGGAAAGAGAAGGCTTAGAGGGGACATGATTGCAGTCTTTAAGTATTTGAAGAGCTGTTGTGTAGAAGATGGAGCAGATCTATTCTCTCTTTCTTTGGACTGCAAGACTAGATCTAATGGGTGGAAATTACAAGGAAGTCATTACCGGCTAAATATCAAGAGAAACTTCCTAACTGTAAGAGTGGTTGAGCAGTGGAACAGTCTGCCTCAGGAGGTGGTGGATGCTCCTTCACTGGACGTTTTCAAGTGGAGGCTGGACGACCATCTTTCGGGTATGTTGTATGTATGTAGGGCTCTCTTTCGGCTGTGCTCCTGCAGAGTGCAGGGGGTTGGACTAGATGACCTCCAAGGTCCCTTCCAACTCTAACATTCTATGATTCTATGATTCAATCAAATTCATGGCCACATCTGACTTTCCAAAAGGATAAGTCTAAGGATGGGGTCTCTGAATGGCTATTGCCCAAAATAGCCATGAATGGAACATCAGAGATGACATATCTTTGAAAACAACATAGTGGGGAGAGACAGCCAGGGAAGGCCTTGTCTATCATCTCCATACTGTGGACTTCTGAAGGGTATCAAAACAGTGTTCATTAGGAGCAGAAGGCTATGATAGATGGACCAGGCAACCTTTGCACTCTCTTCAACTACTTGAAACTGTTGTAGCATTTGAATATTAAAGGGTCTATTGTTCATATTTTTGCCATTTTGTTTTACCCAGCTGAGCAGTGACATTTCAGTGGCAGTCACAAAGTATACAGAAATGCCTTCAACTTCATTTCAAACACTGACACATTAAGAAAAATTCCTAGCAGATTTTATTTCATCTTTCCTAGTCATTTGAATTGGAATGGGGGGGGGGGGGGGGAACCGCACAGATGTACTAGATTTCAAAAGTTGGAATTCTAAAATTAGATACCAACACATCTGGTTTCCTTGTCCTGAAAGGAAAACTCTGCAACAACCTTAGAAGATGTGCCTAACAATTAAAATTAATGATGCTGATCCAGAGCTTCATGTGGTCTCCGAGGCAAGAGAGGGAGAGAAGAATTCCTCTGTGAGAAGGCTCCGCTTCGCTTCACAGGAGGCGGCCATGGAGCAAAAGTGGGTGGGGGAGCCTTAATTTTTAAGGAAATTGGGGCCTGCAGCTCCTTATGCAGCCTGAGCGGAGGTGATAATCCTGTGTCCGGGATGCAGCTGAGTGATCACATGATTGAATGCTCTCCTGTTAAACAAAAACACCTGGCATGTAGAAATCTAGCAGATCAAGTTGAAAGCTCAGCTAGAGCCCTGCTCTTGTGTAAAATGAAGGGTTTCTGTTTAAGTGGCAACTCGAGCAAATAGCGCTGTAAGCTTCTACCCAGAGTCTAAAATGGGGACGGGGTGTCAAGAAGAAGAGAAGAGATTGGATTAATACCCCGCCCTTCACTACCCAAAGGTGTCTCAGAGTGGCTTACAAACTCCTTTCCCTTCCCTTCCCCACAACAGACACCCCCTGCGAGGTAGGTGGGGCTGAGAGAGCTCTTGACAGAAACTGCTCTTTT